GCTAAGCACTTTACATGCAATATCTTACTTAACTCACCTGACACTGTGATGAGGTATTACCTCTATTATAAAGCTAAATAGATAAAGACTCAAAAGCTCTGATTGATGTCACCAATGACTCATAAACTGTAAGTGGCCAAGCCAGGATTGGAAACTAGGACAAAGGGGTCCATGGCATTCTAGGCAAGCCAGGTAACACAAATGAGTAAACACAGCCAGGAAGGGGCCATGACAAATGTCAGAGCACATATATGTTTTCAAGAATGGCTACTCAGTTCCAGCATTTTGAGGCTGTGTGGGAATTATAGGCCCTAGTCTTCTGATGTTTTGTAATATCTGACTGGATGTAAAATCTCCTAATTTATAAATGTTGGCATCCATTTAATTCAAATGTGTTTATTTAAACATTTCAAGAGCCCAATAAACACATCTGTGGGCAGAGTATGGTCCCAGGCTTCCTGGATGCCATTTCTGATTTAGTGCCTGTGCTCTCAGCCCTCAGGCTATTGGAGCTCCAGGATCTCCTTAAGGTCACCTTTGCGAATAGTCCTTTCCAGGTCTGTCATTCTTAGATCTATGACTTCGTCTTCCTTCTTGGTTCTCAGAGCTAACGAGAACAGCAAGGTAGAAAGAAATGCAGACCAAGACAGATACAAGCTGGCAAAGGCAGAGGTTAAGTATATAGCTTCAATAAATATAACATCATTCCCAGAACTCTCTTCCTGGGAGCAACCTTCCACTGCTCTGGCCCCAAGACTGACAAACATTTGCATCTACAAAGTTATAAAGCCAACTTTTTATTAAAAGAAATATATGGTGCCCTTTAGGGGTTACTTGCCTTTTTACTTGGGAGAGATTAAACAGATACACTTTCACAGGCAGAATTCCTTCAAAGTTTGGGAAATAAGACCATCTGTGTGGTGCCCTTGAATTTTTCATTTTTTTCTGAAAGCCATCTGCTTCCTGTTATCCTGATGTGCCCAGTCATAATGGCAGCGTTGTAGGATGGAAATCGGCTCCATCCAGGTTTCCATATTGGTATCCAAAAATTTGTTTGTTTCAATGGACAAGAGTCTCCCCTTAGGGATTTTCCCTAAGACAGCTGGGCTCACTGCCTGCCTAATCTTCACCCTGTCTTCAAAACAGATGAGGGAAGATCCACAGGCTGAGAAAGGCTAAGCAGCAGCACTTCGTGCATTTATTCCCCTTCCCACTCATGTTTATTAATATCTGGGCAGAAATGTGACAGTGAGAAGTTTTGATGCACACAGGAAGATGGCTACAGCAAGCGAGCAGTTTAATATAGTACCAACCAAGTGGGCTGTGCTGTACAGAGGAGAAAAACGAATCTTAAGTCTATTTTGTAAAAAATAACTAAATGCTGGTTTGAATCAGCAAATAAGTTACAAAATAATGTAGAAAGCTAAGAGCTATGACAAAACATTACTCTAAGCCTGGCCTATGGGATTTATAAATGCCGTTTCTTTTTGGAAAGTTAAGGGTTCTTTGGTGATTGATAAATACTATTTGAGAAATAGGATTTTAGTAGATTCTTAAAAATCTGTAGAATTGGGAGAAATACCCTTGAAATGTACAGCAGTGATTTTATGACTAAAAGAGACAAAAGTACCAGTCTATGACTATCCACAGCCTTTTCCCCTCTTCCCTGTCTGCAGAGACAGTTTGGATTTTGCCTACCTACTCTTTTCCTTCCTCATCCTACATGGAGGGTTCTTCCATTGGCCATGCTAAGTTAGGAGACTAGATACAGGGAAAAACAGACAGCACAGAGGAAATTTCGCTCTCTGGAGAACCCTAGGTCATGGGGTAAATAACGTGCTGAGAGTCCGTTGTGTGGGAAGGCAGAGGAGGGAGAGTGACAGGAGATGGCCTTCCAGTGGGATGACAGAGGTTGAATGGATGAGACCAGGGAGGTGGTTCTGGAGTAGAGAGTGAGAGGGTTCCAGAAACTTCTAAGTCCACAGGAGAAAACAGATTATTTTAATCATACTCTCATTTATGTTGCTTGAGAGATACCACAACTCATTAGAATTCCTGTTTGGATAGTGTTTACACGTCAAGTTTCTCATGAACTGAAGCACATGGGTCATAGCTTTAACAGGGTTAGGACTGTCAATGAGTTTGCCTGTTTGCTATGCCTTTCCCCTCTATTTCCAAAGGGACAAAGAAACTTAACACAGAAGCACAAAGACATGTGACTTTGTTTTCTCAGGCAGGGGTAAGGGACCTTTTCAATAAATATGACACTGTTCCCAGATTTCAGAACAATCTGCCTCAGGAAGTTAGAGGTCAACATTTAGTGGTGCCTTGAAGGAGTTTATTATGATCTTATCAGGGAGATCTGTGTGACTCAGTATGTGATTGATATTTGGACTCTCTCTACAACTCTTATTCATTCGTTTAATCAATCAATATTTACTGACCACTCACCAAGTCTCAGGCACATGTTCCTGGGTCTCAAGATATTGTAGTTAACAAAACCAATGAATACCCATCTCTCACAAAGCTTACGTAGCTTTTTATATGTATTTCTTTCCAATAAAAATGCTCCCATTAAGTAGGCAAAGAAATGTGAGTGGCAGATTATAAACTTGATATTTAAGTCACTTGGAAAATTTAAATCATGCCTCAGAATCCCCCTGCTATGGGGAATAAGGGTTATGCCAAATATTTTCTTTTTTATCCATTCAAAAATAACTAAACTCAAAGGGAATTAAGAACACTTATCCTCAGCTTAACAGAGCCTGGCATACTTTCAAGAATCACAAGGAAGCAGTTGCAGGGTCAATAATACAGGCGGAGGACTCTATCAGCCAGAGTTGGGCCCCATCTGAGGCACTGCATGATTTGGGCAAGTTGTATAACCTCTGTCTTGGTTTCATTACCTGTCATATGGGGTGAATTAGAGTACCTATCTCATTAGGGTTTTTGTGTGGGCAAAATGAGCTAAGTTGTGTGAAGTGCTTAGCTCAGTGCATATCAGAGAGTGCACTGTTTTCTATTCTTATTATTTTGTTGTCTTGCCTTTAAAGAATGGGCTAGACAAGCTCAGTTCTGTTTAAGTCTAAACTTTCTTTACAAAATAAATGAATAAAAGAGGAGAAAGACTCACTGACAAGTGAAGAGATAGAACAAGCTAATCAAATGATGATATGTAAGAGTGGTGGCAAGTCTGTACAGAATTTAGAACAAAAGCAGACAATGAGATTTTTCTACATAATGTATCTGTGTCTATGTCTCTCTCTCTCTCTGTCTCTGTGCGTGTGTGTGTGTGTGTGTGTGTGTGTGTCTGCATAAGCCTAGGCAGCTAAATTATTTTCAGTAAACCACAGCTAGCTTTCTGATGACATTGACAAGCTTGCAACATCAAGGAGGCAGCAAGACTCCACCAATACTGGTTCTGTGTTCCATGAGCTGTTTCCAACTCTGAGACTCAAAGTCCCCTGATGGAACAAATTATAATTTAAGTGGCATAAGCAAGCAATGCAAAATGCCAGTGTCAAGCCATTGAGGTTGTTTCCTAGGCAGAGGGCTCATTTAACGAAGAAGCACATGACGTGTTTACTCTAGAGTCTTCATTGCTTGGATCAGCATCTAGGCTTTTAAGCATAATTTTCTCCTGTTGTGTTTTGTGGGGAGGAGATGGGGGCAGACATCCGTCATTGTAATTCCCAAATTTGTCTCCAGTCTTTTTAATAAGATTATTTACAGAAGTTTAATTCATCCAGCAAAAGGTTAGTCTGAGCGATCTCTGAGACAGCCTCGTACTGGCATTCTCTCTTAAATTGTAGTTCCATCTTATTCATCTTAGTGATGGCCTTTCATTTTGAGGCAGAATTTGTCTTCATGCTCTATGCCACTCTGCATACCAATAGGAGTCCAGTGAAAGGAACACAAGGAGGTCAAATCCTGGTTCTGCTACACCCTCGTTATTTGATGATTAGCTAATCCTGGAGTCTCAGTTTCCTCATCTGCAAAACAAGATCTATCCAGCAGAGAAGCCCTAAGGATTCCAGCTAATCTCTAAACACACTAAATGCTAACTGTCGTAGGATTTCCTGGGTTAGAGTCTTCCCTCATCTCTGCATCAGCTTCTTCCTTGTATCCTCTTGAAATATTCTTTTTAATGGCAGTCCTTATCACAAAGATGGTGTATGCTGGTGGTCTTGATGAAGCACTCTGGAGGCAAATTGTCCAGATCCAAACCCTGTCTCTACTGCTGATTATCATTTTACTGTGGGCACATTTTAAAATTTCTCACGCCTCGATGTCCTGATGTAGAAAATGGAGCTAGTAACATGAACTATCTCATGATGTTGTCATAAGAATTAAATGAGTGCCACATGTAGAACTCTTATAAGCATGAGCTATTATTATTATTATTATTATTTTTTTTTTTTTTGAGACGGAGTCTCGCTCTGTCGCCCAGGCTGGAGTGCAGTGGCGCAATCTCGGCTCACTGCAAGCTCCGCCTCCCGGGTTCACGCCATTCTCCTGCCTCAGCCTCCCGAGTAGCTGGGACTACAGGCGCCCGCCCCTGCACCCGGCTAATTTTTTCTATTTTTAGTAGAGACGGGGTTTCACCATGGTCTCGATCTCCTGACCTTGTGATCCGCCCACCTCGGCCTCCCAAAGTGCTGGGATTTTTTAATCAGTGTCTGAGAATTGTCTAATGCTGGATCAGCATAAAGTCATCGACCAGTCAAATAGAAGAGAAAAAGATGGGACATGGGGGACAGAGCACCAGAGAAGAGAGAAAAACGGACATCCTGTTTACTCCTCATCTGACAGAGCCTTAGTGGTGAGTAGCAGAGCACTAGATCTCTCAGAGTTCACTGGGCTTCAGCTCTCCTCACCATGAGCTCCTGGAAGCAAGGGACCAGGACTTGTTTGTCCCCAAGTGTGGCCCAAAGAACTACTCAGGAAAAGTTGTTGGAATAAATAAATCTAAAACAGGAAAAGGAACACAGAGCTTTGAACTATTGCCAGGCTAGCAAATCCTCTGATTTATTTGGTGACCTGAACAATTGCAAAGTGGTAACACACAAAGTAACCCAAAGCCCTTTACAAAGTGTCAATGGGGGACCTAGAACCAAGCCTGGTTGCTCCGGGTGACTCCCAGGACACTCTTCAAAGCCATTAAGAAACCTGGAGAGTCCTAACCAAACAGGACATCTGGTCAACTTCATAAAGCATATGCTCTCGGGCACTGTTTAACATGAGTAACCCAATCCCCTTGCTGCAGCAAGAATTCTCTTGAATCATTTTTCTGGCAGCAGGGTGTCCTCCCCAAAGGCAGGACTATTATCCATGTGACCTCCCAAGATCTATTTCTCTCCTGTGATTTATTCAGTGACCTCCTCCGGTGCACAAAATGGTATCTTTGTGGCTTAAAAGGGTTTTTGCCCCTCCTCCTTCTTCACTATGAGTCATTTATTTCTTCCTGCCAGTAGGACACTTCTCTTGTTCATTCCCAAAGCATCCCTGTAAAGAAGGCAGTAAGGGTATAAAAATAAACCCTTCAGAAGCAGAAATGGCTCCAAAGCCCTCCACTAGGACCACCCCCACCATCATGGTTTTGGAGTAAACTTGGTTAGAATGTCAGCTCTAAAGTCTGACTACCTCAATTCACACCCTCACTCCACACTCAGCAGCTGTGTTACCTTGGGAAAATTACTTAACCTCTTTATGTTTTTATTTTTTTTCTCTGTGAAATGGGGCTAAAAATAATACTGACCTCATAGCATTTTGTGAGGATGGAATGCGGGAATACAGCAAAGCACTGTGAATAGTGTCTGCCACGTGGTAAGAGCTCAATAAAAATTACCTAGAATTTCTTTCTGAGGCCACTATAAATTCTCAGCATTGAATATATGCATGGATAAATGAAAAGTGGGGTTAAATGACTTGCAGAGCTCAGAGTAAAACTGCATGATGGCCTTAATTATCTATTCCCTTCTCTTAGTTCCTCGCTTCCTGTCTAGTTAGATGTTAATATCAGTAGCCAATATTGAGAAAAAAATTCTTCATTTGTTTCACTTAAAAATAGGTATTGCCTAAAACAACTCTGAAATGAATGTAAATAATGTATTTTCATTCACCTTTGACTGAATCATTATCTATTTCCCCTAATGTGAGAGGTTGATTCTTTGAGTTAGAATTTTGAAAGAGAGAGAAAGTAGGTGCTGTGACAGTGTAATTCTTGTTTTAAAATGTGTCCTTTAAAAATGTGCCCTAGCTCTCTTGCTTTGGCTTCCAGGAGTGGCTTGGCATGGGGCTGAGTTCCTGGTGGAGAGTGCTGAGCTGGCAGTGTGCCAGTGTGGTTCATGCTGCCTTCCTCTCTTGCTTTTAGTTGTAGATGAAGTAAATTTCTGGAAACCACTCACCATGTATTGACATCTGTGAATGGAGACAGAAAAAAAAAAAAGGCCGTGTAATCATCATCTGCAGAGTACAGTACACTGATCTGAGAGTTTTCAGGCGAGAGAATTACATTCTATAACTTCATCTAACTTTTTCTAATTTTACATTTTTCATGCTCAGAAGAGAACTGGCAGAAGTGTTTCACAATTAATGATGAATTCAAACAGCTTTCGGCACCCACTCTCATTTGTGTCTCTCAAGCACAGAGGCGGCAGAGGTGAACCATCTGCATTTTCCTGGGTTCCTGCTGCCATGTGTACCGGGGAACAAGGGTAAAAGGAAACACATCGCTAAAACAGCGGAAAGTTTCCAACTGCAGTATTGGTGAAGAGAGTAGAAATTTATGTCACTGATTTCCACAAGGACAATCTGATACATTCACTTTGTTCAGCCCACAACGAGGTGCAGGGGAGATGAATTGAGTCTCTTTCTATGCAGATCTGTTCCCTGCCAAATGAGCCCACCATCAAAGAATACAGTATGGCTCTTTCTACACTGAGCTGTTTGGCAGACACATTTTGTAACCAGAAATGGTGCCAGCAGTTTGCAGCAGCCTCCGCCGCAGCAAATCAGCTGTGATATTAAAAAGAAAAACAGCCTGGCAATGTGGAAATTATCCCATCCAGCAGTATTTCCCAACACAAGAGGCTTGATTTTGCTGCCCAAGTGAGAGTGACAGAACTGATTAATCCTTTATTCCAAATGCCATTCTCTACCATCAAATTTTGGTTGTTTATTTTTTAATCTTTTCTAGAAAAAGGAAACATTGTGACTCTACTTAAATAGCCCAAGTAGACTGAAGATTTGGCGACGGCACAGTACATTTAAGCCAGCTGAGCTAAGAAGAGAAGAAATTGGGTTATACGAGGTAAAGAAATCTATTGTCCCCTGTGCTTTCTGGATTGACTCGTTCTATGGTGAAAACACTTTCTTTTCTGCTATAGCATTTCACGAAGCCATCTGTATTATTTAATCTATACAGACAGCTGGTCCAGATACTTTTAGACTCAATATGGATTTTTTTTAAGTCTGAATAATGTACAAGGCTTAAATTAACAAGAGAATTGCCAGCTCTCTCTCTCTCATGTTGTACCAGGGTCCCGTGAGGAGCATCAGGAAAAGCGTGGGACAAGGAAGGGGTTTGCACCTGTAGCTGTTGGAGCCTTCGGCTGGCCAGGTGGAAAGAGGCTTCAAATGGGATAACGTCATGTGTTCAGCCCTTCGTGCTCTGAATACTGTCCATTTTCTTTCTCCCTTCAGCAGCTGCTGTTCCCCAGAGTTTGTCTATGTAAAGTTGTGGCTACAGAGGCTCCAATTCTTTATCTACAAAGCTGAGGCTCATGTGGCTAAGGAACCACTCAAAAAAACCAGAAACTAATAGAACCCGAGAAGAGGTCAATACACCCAGTGGTAATTGGACTGCCTGATCTCTTTACTAGAACTTTCTAAGTAATAAAGAGTGCTAGTACCACGCTACTCCATCAGACAACTAATTGTGCAGCCCTATGCACTAACTAGTTGTGTAATTTGGGGCAAGTTACTTTTCTGAGCCCCAGTTCTCACATCTATAAAAGAAGCATGATAATGGTACTTATGAAGTTGATGTGATAATTGAATCAGATAATACAGGTAAAGCACTTATCTGGCACAAGGAGCACTCAAAAAACAACAAAATAGTAATGATAATTATCATTTGTCGAGCACTTGCTCTAGTATGCCAAACACTCTTGCAACTTTACAACATAGCTTGAAGCTCTTATGGTAATCCTATGAAGTGGCTGTTGTTATACCTCTTAAACAATAAGAACCACAGATGGTAATTAAAGGTCAGATGACCCTGGTAGTTGCTTCTGATATAATCATCAATCAATTAACAGAAAACTGATTGGCAGAATGGTTGACCAATGTGGGCTCTGGGATCAAACAGTTCGGGGTTTATTCTCTGTCCTGTCACTTATCAGCAAGGTAAACTTGGACAAATGATTTAACCTCACTGACCCTCATTTTTCTTATCTGGAAAATAGAACTAATAATCATACCTACCTAATAGGGCTGTTGGGAGGGTAATTCAACAATATAAAGGATGCACGTTGAGCCCACGAAGAACTAGTAGTGCTCCAGCTGAAAACAGGTTAGTGATGAGGAACACACCGCTTGCTTCGACTCTGACCACTCCACTTACTAGCTGGGTGACCCAGGGCAAGCCACTTAACCTCTCAGGTCTGGTCTCTTCATCTGTAAGATGGAAAGGTTGTTGTGAAGATTGGACAAGTTAAAGCACATAAGTGATTAGTTGGTAAGTATTCAATAACTATACAAGTACGTTTATAGACATGGGTTTTTTAATGACAAAGTCAAGCAGGACACAGCAAGCATCAGAAGCAGGAGAGTCCCTTAGAATTCCAAGGAGGCAGAGACGGGGTGGTTAGTGGTGGTCAGAAAGTCTGAGCTGAGCCACAAATTCAATTCAATGCAAACTTTACTGTAGCAGGCCTGGTACTGGGTTCTGTGAATATACAGGTGAATGTAGGCAGTATCTAGTTTCTGAGAAGGCAGTGTAACTAAAGGGTACATGAGATAGGAAGTATTTAACTGGGACAGTGTACTGGGTGTTACCCTGGAGAAAAGCAGACAACAAGAGGAAGCTAGGTAAGGAGGCTGGGGGCAGTGGATTCTCTGTGGGATGAGAGAATGAGGATCTCAAGAGGCCAAGGAACAAGCTGGGTAAAGGTACCATTTATTGATCCACTAAGCCACCATGATGTCTTAAAAGAACCCAGGTTCTGGTGAACATGAAAGGCAAAATTGTAAAAAGTTTGACGGTTGTTTGAGAGGTGCTTTAATAAGATCAGAGATACTATGTTCTTCCTTTTTGCCAACTATAACTGCAGGGTTCCAGGTAATCTTTGTCCTCTGAAATTTAATTAGCTAAGGATGTGTGGGTTCCAAGCTAAGAACTTCTAGCTCTTCTTGCATTTCTGTATTAAGTAAGACTTGTTTTTTGGCAAGTAACAGAAACCCAGAAACCTACTCAAGTGACCTTAAAAAAATTATCTCACTTAACTGGAAATCCAAGATGTTTCTAGCTTAAGGCCAATCTAGGGCCTCAAACTAGACACTCATGTACTCACGGTTCTCTTCTTACCGTTAGCAATTTTTTCACAGGCAGGCTCTTCCCAGTTTAGCAGCCACCCCTCCCCACTTAGAGAGTCCCTCTTTGACAGTGGCTCCTGTAAAACTTGCCATTGTATTTTTAACAACTGCAACCAGGAAAATGGAGTGTCTCATTGGTCATGCCTGGCTTTGCAGGGCCTGGAAGCCATTGGGTAAAGTCAGTGATGCACAAACTAAGTGAAAGATGGGGAGCAGTGGTTCTATAAATGGATGATGAGCCTAGTAAAACTTCTATTACAGCATGCTCCAAAGGAGGAAGGCAGAGAGCAGAAGGTAAGGAGATGGAAGGGGGAAAAAAGTCACATGTTATCCCGGCCCGCGGGATAGTCGAAGCAGGCCCTGGAGGAGGGGGTGGGAATTTGGGGAACAAGAGATACGAGAAATGGAGACAAGACAGTGCTCTGATCAAGTCTCTCTTAATGGCGGTAATGCAGTGCCTTATATACACTTGGAGGGGAAGGGGTTGGGCCAAGGCGAAAATGATCTCATAATGGAGGCGTGGCCAGATAGGTATTGGTTTCTCTGGTCGAACGTCATGTTGCACCTGCGCTGTCAGGTAGTAATTTTCACGGGCGCGGGAAAAATGGGTGAAGAAGAAGCAGGAAGAGCGCCATCTTTTATGAGGTATTAATACAGGGGAAAAGGTAAATCTAGGGAGGAGGTAGAAGGTGGAAATGAATAGAGCTCAGGCGTTTTTAATCGTCAGTTATTATTCGCTATGGCCGGGTGGTGCAGCTCCGGACAACATGTATAAAGTCAATCAACTCAACTATGGATCTTTCATTACTCTCATCATAAATTGAATCCTCTTGAATTTTAAAGCCATTTTATTCTCCATTTTCTTTATTTCCAGCCTTTCAATTTATTTGTATACCTCTTGTCCTTGATTTTTATAGATAGTTTCATAGTCAAGAAAAAATAGATTTGCGAAAATATATTCCACAAACAAGTTTCCACTCTACCTAAAATAGCAGATGCCATGTGTGATTTGAGGCCCTCAATACATCACTTTGGGTCCTTAAGGCTGCATCAGTTTGGACCTGCTGAGACATTTCTACTGCAGGGTAATCATGGTGGATTATTGAAAGGTTGAGCACTGGGAACACTGACTTGGAGTTTGATCTCTCTCTCTCTCTCTCGCAATCTCTCCCCTTCTCTACCTCTAATCAAAGATGTGTTTACATATTTACATAAAGGCAAAGAATGTCCCCCAAACCAGATTCAAAGATTCTAGGACACATAGACTTTTAGTCCTTTTGTAAAAGAATATTTGCAAGTGTTTTCAGTTTTTCTCTGTGTGCCCAATATTTTTCTTTTATATTTTGATTCTTCATTCAGCACATCTGTTCAAAAGGATGCTAGATACCATGTAAAGCTTTGAAGAGTGGAGCACACCATAACCTTTAATTATCACTTGGCTTTCTATTATAATTGTTATTTAAAAGTGCTTTGGCCCTCAGGCCAGAGCCATTAGGCGTTCTATTCCTGCCTCTGCCCCGCTTGACAGTATTCATTTAACGGTATGAATTTAAGATGCCATTAAGCCCCAAAGCTTCATTTTCTGCCCATTCAAGACCCCCTCTATCACTATTCTAAACTTCAAGAATTCAGATTTAACAGTTTACGGGACTAAGCAGCCTTCCCATGTGAATCCTCAAAGGGAAGGACCTACAAACCCAAAGACTCAATGCCGTGGGCTTAGAAGTAAAATCGTCCCTAGTAATCTCGCTTGCGTGTATGATGCCCTGTGTAAATTTTGCAACTCCTTTCAGCTTGTAGAGAAGATTTCTAATGTCTATCCTACGGCCACATGAGACCCTGGCACTTACACATGTGAATTCAGTTACCTCTATGAGCACGGTATTGAATAAGCACTCTAGGCATCTTGTTAAAACTGATTTTTCCTGATTGCAACATTATAGTTCTCCACTCAGTGGGTGGTTGCAGAGCAAAGAGAAGCTGAACTGAAGGAAGGAATTTTTTTTTTTTTTTTTTTGAGGCGGAGTTTCACTCTTGTTGCCCAGGCTGGAGTGCAATGGCGCGATCTTGGCTCACCACAACCTCCGCCTCCCGGATTCAAGTGATTCTCCTACTTCAGCCTTCCGAGTAGCTGGGATTACAGGTGTGCCCCACCACACCTGGCTAATTTTGTATTTTTAGTAGAGGTGGGGTTTCTCCATGTTGGTCAGGCTGGTCTCGAACTCCTGACCTCAGGTGATTCACCTGCCTCGGCCTCCCAAAGTGCTGGGATTACAGGCATGAGCCACTGCGCATGGCCAGAAAGGATGAATTCTAGAAGAAACTCCACAATACTGTTTTAATACCTCAGGAGTTGTTCATGGGGTCCATCACGTAGTCAGGCTGCTGGCAAGTTATCTAGACACCTGGCCATCCAGGTTGTCATTTTACCTGATTCATGGTGGATTCTGAAGGGCTTTATTTATAATCCAGAAAAGCACTCTCTCTCACCCTGTCTCATTCTATCTCTTGCATACACACACACACACCACACGCCCCAGAAAGGAAAGGGAAGCCTTTCGAGGGATTTCTACAAATCATGTTATTCAATGGATACAGCCCTTCCCACAGTTCTCTAGGCTCTGCCTAAATGGTTTAATGATATCACCTGGTCACCAAATTTTCTGCATAAAGAGAGGGGTGCTCAAACATCTTGTCTGAGAAGATTCTGCAGCTGTGCAAATACAGTCGGCCTGATCATTAATCCATTCGTCAGGTGAGATCTCCCTCTTTAGCTAGCAAAGATCCCAAGTGGTATGAGTTAGTGTCTACACTATAAAATTGTCCTCTGAGAATGTGGATTCTGGGTTTTCACAGGAAACAATGGACAGGCCTCTCTCTGCCACTTGGCCCAAGAGTTTTCATATCATGTTTAATTATGAGCCATTCAGTGAAGGGTCTCTTAATAATTCTGGCCATTGCTCACTTATTCAAAAAATATTAGGTATTTATTGTGTGCCAGCCATGGTGCTGAATGCGAGGGGAACCAAGATGAATAAGAATCAACACCTGCCTTCAGGAAGCTTGCAGTCAAAGTGAAAAGCAGATACTATTTCATCATGCTACAATGGCCCCTTTATCCTACAACTGTGAGAGATATTGCTAATTAGTTTTAGCATCTTTCTCACTAATTCCAGATTCAGACCACAACTCCTTCTTTAATCCTAATACTCAGTCATTCACCACCAAGTCATTGGATTTGGCATTGAGTTGAAACATGTTCTCCATCTCTGGTCTGTTACTGGCAGGATCACATCAATCTATGTGCCATTCTGATCTCTGTCTTCCTAATACACTTGCCCTGTCCTCAGTGGAAGGCAACTCACTTCCAGCACAGCAAGATTCCTCTCCTCTCCTTTTGTTATATCACTGAGTTTTGCTATCTCTGGTTCTTAGCTTTCTCTGGCATGAGAAACCCGAGTCCATTATGTTTCCTAAATCCAGGAGACATGTATCAAGCTTTTCAATGGTTCTCTTAGAGCCACAGCTTGCTTGGCTTAAGGTGACGGGAAAGCACCCACCTGCTCCTGTCATAGGCTGCATTTCCCAGGAAGCGGACTCTGAGTCTATTGTGTAGTATCATTCTTAAGGAGCACCTGTGGGATCAGCACCTGTGGAAGGGGTGCAATGGAAGCAGGTGGGCAATAGGAGACATACAGAAGCCGTGGAACACAGTGACAGCCTCAGCCAAGCCTGCAGGCAGTTCTGAAGCTCTAATACGTCTTAAAGTGGTCCCAAGGTGACTCATTTTTCATACAACCTCATGGATCAGTCACTGAACATGGCCCACCCCGGGAAGGAATGTGACCTTGGATAAGGCTATTCTTTGCAGCTAAGCCAATTCAAAGAAATTTTCTCTCCGTGCTCCAGTCTCTCCAGCTTCAACTGCTTTCAAAGATGGAGGGAGTGATTGGTATTGCAGGTGGATCTGGTTTTAGGACTTCTTAGTCTGTCTCATAGAAGGGCTTTAATTAGACTTTTTGTTAATTTATAGTTGTTGTTTTAAGGTTTTGAGGGCTCAGCTGAAGCTAATACACGGAGTTCCATTGTACTACCCTGCTACATATGGTAAGTTGTTAAACTATCTGTATTGCAATAGCTGGGTGTAAAAGATCATGACTTGTACTCCTACAACAATCCATAGCACAGCAGTTATAAAATGATTCAAATTTCAAATAATCTTCTTAGCAGTCACATGATACACTTAGTTTTTGGTTTGGAAAATACAATCACTGTACAAAAAGGTGTAGCACAACTCTGGGCACATAAGCACTAGGCCCTCGACCTTTAGTGCTGACTCAGTGTCTATTTACATTAGAAACTGTTGTTGAGTTTGAATTAGGGCTGTTTTCAGTGCCTGCTGCTTCCTGAATGATTTTGGGAGGAGCTTCATCAAAAGTGGCTTCAGCGCTCTTTCTGTGCTAATTATAATTATCCCAATCTTTAGGGGAGCCTGTTACCCCTTTTCCCTTTTTGCTCTCAGGAAAAATAAATCAAACTGTTTTCTTTAGTTCTTTCTGTTGACTTCCTCAGATAAATTTCCACGGTTTGTATGACTATTACTGGGTTCATAAAAGGCATCTTTCAATATTGGGCTTACTTTTTAATTCGGCTATTACCAAGTCAAAAGGAAAAGAATAAGAAAAGTAGCATAAGTAAAAGAAACTGAACAGGAAATTGGCAATAGTTGATTTTAGGATTTTAGGTCAGGAAGTTATGATTTCAGGTTCAGGCTCTGAGATGATCTTTGACACATTACTTCCTCACTCTCTCTGCTTTGGTTTTCTTACCCACAAACATAGAGAGATTGGATAAATTCTTATGTGTCCAAAAGTTCCCGTAATTCTGGGTAGGGAGTGTCATGAGACATGAACACCCCATGTAGGACACAGCCCTGAGGTTGATAGGCAGGTGGAGGAATCACCCCTAGTAACAAATACTAGGAAGAATGACCAGTAAGGCAGGGGAGAAACTAGAAAATTAGAAGGTCATAGAAAGCAAGAAAAGAGAAAGTCTTCAAAAAGAAAGGTTAATTAACAGTGTCCAATATTCCTTAGAGCTCAAAGACTATAAAGACTGAAAGAGATGATACTCAATTTAGTGGCCAGTAAGTTGGCTGAAGAGTGATTGGAGGTGAGGGTAGAGAAAGGAGTACAAGGGAATATTCCAAAATATTATTACTAGTTTCTTTCAAGGGAGAAGGAAAGAAATGCAAAGGAAGGTAGTAGAAAATATTACCTTTAAAAAATTTATTATTTGATCCTGGTTACTTTTATAACTTTAAAGAACTCAGATAAAA